GTCGGGCGCCGCCCCGCTCCGCCCCCGACCCCGGCCTTCCAGAGTGTGCGGCGAGGAGCCGGCGGGCGAGCGGGTGTCCCTGCAGCCAGCGAGCAGGAGGAGGAGCCGCCAGCGCGCCAGGGGGAGCCGGGGGAGCCGAGCAGGGCGCCCCAGGTAAGAGCCTCGGCACCTCCCCCGGGGATGCCCGGGCCGGGTCGCCCGGCCCCCGGGTAGGGAGGGGCGGGGGCGGGGCCGGCGGGGCGGGGCTTGGCGGAGGAAACTGAGGCAGGAGGGGCCGCCGGTTGCCCCCAGCGGGGTCTCAGGAGTCTGGTCTCCCGGTCCCCAGTCTTCTGGGGAAGAAGCGAGCTGGGAGTCGGTATTTCTGAGTCCCCGGGCAGGAGGGGGTTGAACCCCAGAACTCTCGGGTCTGAGAGTGGAGGGGCTGGGCGCTTGGACCCCGGGATTGAGGGAGAGAGCTGGGGGACTGGACCCCAGGAGGAGTCCGGGGGTCCTCAGGGCTCTAGTGCTTGCAGCAGAAGGGGTTGGACTGGACTCCTAAGGGAGCTGGGCACCGGGACCGCTAGTCACAGGGAGGAGGCAGCTCTCAGTCCCAGTTGGGGGGCCTACGCGCGCCCATCTTCGCACCGCACCCGCCCCAGTTCCCCATCTGGAGCCAGAGCAGGCAGCCACTGCAGGTATTTGCAGCAGAAGTCTTGGGCGGGCCCTGGCCTGTCCTGTGAGGAGAGAACATTCCAGGAAGCAGCCTCCGGGACCCAAGGCTTCTTAAGTGCGGGCCCTCAGGGACCCGGGTGTCCAGGCCAGCCCCGCCCCCGGCCCATCTGGGAGATGAATGGGCCGAGAAGGATGTAATCTTTTGCAGCCTCCTCCTTCGGCGGCCCTTCCTCTCCCCTCTCCTCCCCCCCATCTGCTTCCCATCCCAGCCAGGAGCCATCACCTAGGCTGGGAAGGGACTTCTGGGAAGGGGCGTGTCCTTGACTCCCGGTCTCCTACTTAGTAACCAGAGGGGTTACCCAGGTCTTCAGACCCCTTCCCACTGCCTGTGTAACTCGCCTGTTCCCTTCTTCCCCTAGGTGACTGCCCCCTCCATCTCCTGAGATGTCAGGAAGGAGAGGGCCACCTGTGTCCCCCACAGGGGCCCCCCGGAGCCTGGGGGCCCCCAGCCCCAGAGCTCGGAGGCGGAGGAGGTGCTGACAGGTCTGGTACCCACCTGCTGCTTCCCAGTCCTCTCCACATCCCTGGTCCCAGAATAGGCTTCCGGGACCTTGTAGAGAAACTGCAGTATCCACGCCCCCAGCAGCATCTCCCAGCCGCAGGGTCAGTGTCACGGACACGGGAATGGGGGCTAGTGACCGGAGCGTCTTACCTTCCTAAGCCAAACGTGGGTCTCCCTGGGAGTCCAGCAGGTGGACTTTATCAAGACATTGGCATCTCGAAACTCCTGCAGGTTGGAGGACTTAGGGCTCTGAGAGACAAGAGGCCAGAGTAGAGCTGCTCAGACAGGCTTGAAGTCCACGGGCTTTGTTAGCTCTGCGCCCTGGTGCAACCGCTCACCTCTCTGAGCCTCCACTTCCTTCGCTTGTTGGCATCTAATAGTCGATGAATAACTATTATTAATCTAGAAGTTGGGCATCATCCAGGTCCTGAAATATCCCACGCCCCCAACCAAGGATTCTAGAACATTTCTGGCATGTAGGACCCCTGGAGTTCCCAACTTCTGCCGCCCTCCCCCAGGTTTCTACCCTCTCTAACTCCAGCTTCCCTCTCTGTCCCCAGGTGCTCAGCAAGATGCTCCCCCACCCCCCCGGCTCCCTCCCCATCCTCCTCCTTTTCCTCCTCCCCAGTGTCCCAATGGAGCCCCAGCCCCCACCCTCACTGCTGCCCCCATTTCCAGCCCCTGAGTGGGACCTCTTATCCCCTCGAGTAGCCCTGTCTAGGGGCGCCCCTGCAGGTCCCCCCCTGCTCTTCCTGCTGGAGGCTGGGGCCTTCGGGGAGCCAGCCGGCAGCCCAGCCAACCGCAGCCGAAGGGGTGTGAGTGAGACAGCCCCGGCCAGTCGAAGGGGAGAGCTGGCTGTGTGCGATGCAGTCAGTAGCTGGGTGACAGACCGCAGGACCGCCGTGGACCTGCGTGGGCGTGAGGTGGAAGTGCTGGGAGAGGTGCCTGCGGCTGGTGGCAGTCCCCTTCGCCAGTACTTCTTCGAGACCCGCTGCAAGGCTGACAGCTCTGGGGAAGGTGTCCCCGGTGGGGGTGGAGGAAGCTGCCGGGGTGTGGACCGGAGGCACTGGGTTTCCGAGTGTAAAGCCAAGCAGTCCTATGTACGGGCATTGACCTCAGATGCCGAGGGCCGTGTGGGCTGGCGATGGATTCGAATTGATACTGCTTGTGTCTGCACACTCCTCAGCCGGACTGGCCGGGCCTGAGGCCCATGCTCAGGAACTGGCTGGCAGATGAAGAAGAGAACTGGATCCTGAGGGACCTGGGGGCGGGGGATGGCCTGGCCACTTTGGGCTTCAGTCAAATGGTCACAAAATCACAGCTCTCTGAATTTGAGAGCTTCATTTCAAAGACAGTTGGGGAAACCAAATGGGGTTTTGAAGGATGAATAGGAGTTCTCCTGGATGAACTTCCTGATGATGCTGACTGTGATAGCCAATTATTCTGAGTGTTTTACTGTTCATCAGTCCAATACACAACTTGTCAGATCAACTCTGGTGGATGTGACCATCGGAGGCCCTGACTTCTAACTTGTTGACCACTTAATCTATAGGACACCACCTTGCCGACCCTGGAGAACGATAAGAAGAAATTATGTCAAAAAGTGGGGTGAGGGGAACATAAAAATGGGCTTATGCAACCAACCACCTGGAAGCTGGGGTTCAAATGAAAATCTTATATGATGAATGGGGCAAGTGTTGCCTTAGAATGTTCAGCTTTGAGGTCATAAGTTGACCTTACCAGTTAGATCACAAGCAAGATTAAAGAATTGGAGGTCAGGATACCAGAGAGTTTGCCCCTGGTGGGGAGGTGGAGTCAGGTTTCGACCCCTCTCCTGTTTCAACCTGTTGAAGGAAAAATAGACCTTAAAATTGTAGGGCACAGTCTTCCAATAAATTGCCCCCTGGCTAGGACTAGAGACCACTTGGACACCCATATAGATCCTGCGTGGGCCAGGAAAATCCAACAGGAGAAGGGCCGCAGTCACTTAAATGGCATCAGTGGGACTCGGGGCCAGGCTGCAGAACACAGCCTCTGTTCCCCCCTCAGAAGAAAAGGTTGGTGGGTGACATGATAGAGGAAGTGGGGCTTTGATCAAAAGGACTTTAATGTAAGGAGATGACAGGGAAGCCAGAGGTAAGCCCCACAGCTGCAGGGCACTCCTTCCGGTAGTATCTCTCCACCACCTCACACCTGTTACACACACACACACACACACCCCTTGGGCTAGAGACAGAAAAATCCAGTGTCCTAGCCAGACTGGTCTGGGGTCTGGCTGCCTCTGTTTCTCCGCCTCTGGGTTCCAGGTCTGTGGCTCCCGTTCCTTCTTTTTTTGTCATCTCTTAGGATCTCTGTTTAACTTCCTGTCTTGCCCGAGCGTCCTTAGCTCTCAGTTTCTCACTTGTTACCGCACCCATTTTTGGATGCATTTCTTTCTCACGCATCAAAGCTCTCTCTGCAGCCCTTCGTGCTAAGTATTTCCCTGTGTGTTTCTCAGCGGGTCTCTTCCTCTTCGCCCATCCGCGTACCAGGTGGAAATTTTCAACCAAATCAAAGGCAGGCTGGGTAGACACGGCCGCAGCCCAAGTAGAAACCAGCACGGACTCCAGCGCTCAGCGAGGGCGGGAGAAGCCGTGAAGTCTGGAAATCGTTACCCCGGAGTTGGGCAGGCCTGGCAGCGGAGGAGAAGCAGCGAGAGGGCCGGGACCCTGCAGGGAAGGGGCGGTGTTTCTCACGGAGTCCCTACTGGGCTGGGGGGTCTCGGCCCCTCCACCCCACCCCAGCCCCATCCCTGCCCCGCCCTTCTCTCCACTGCCTGGTCCCCGGCTCTCTGTCCCTGAAACCCTGCGCTTCCATTCCTTCTTCCTCTACCCTTTCCACCCTTCACTCTGGGTCTCCCCAGTTTCTCTGCCACTCTTGCAGCCTGCCGCCCCTCCCCCAGTCCCTGTCCCGGGTGTCTCTTTCTCACGCCGCTCACCGGCCCCTCGCTCGCCGGCCCTCCATTGGCTGCCCAGAGTGGGCGGGTTCGGTTACCGGGGCAACAGCAACAACAAGCCCGCCCCTGCTTGGCTACCCCCGGGGGGACGATGGCTGGCCGGACCCTAGCTCTCCGCTACGGTCCGCCTTGGACCCCCATCTCTGGGGCCGAGGTGCCTGGATCCTGTCCCAACTGGCATCTCACTAGCAGTGGCGTCGCCCACCATGTTATCCCAGCCGTGTCCTTCCCCCCGCCCACTATGCAGGTGAGAGGAGCCCGGGTTCCAGGCCAAGCAGTCACGGGGGGCCCAGACTCCTGGTTTTGAAGGAGGGGACTGGGGCGCCAGCGCATCTGCTGAGAGAAAGCGACTTGGGCTCCAGTCTGACTGCAGGAGGGTCCCGGAGCGCGGGGTGTGGGGGGTGGGGTGGGGGAGGGAAATGAGGGGCCAGGGAACCCGGATGCCTGGAACTGGAGGGAGGAAAAGGACTGGAAGCGTCTAGTTGACGCCGCGCCTTCTCCCCAGTTCACCGTCACGGAGCCCCTGCCCCCGGCCGCGGAGCGGGAGTCACACGCTTGGGCTTTCGACGAGGTCATCAATAGCTGGGAGACTACCCACCGCGCGGCTTACCTGCCCAAGGCCCACGGCGGACCCTACGCGCAACCCAGAGCCCCAGAGCCTGCGGACCCCACGCGGGATGTGGGGATGAAGGATTTAGGGGAAAAGGTCTGCCGAGGTGTGGGGGGGTGGCACGGGACCGGAGACCCGTGCATCCTCATGTTGGGGCCCCGCGACACCTTTCTGTAGCTCAGACACAGCGGCTGGCGCCTCCCCCTGACCACTAAGCACCAGTGCAGCGAGACCAGGGCGCAGTACACCGGCTGGCCGGAGCTGGACCAGCCCGCCAGCTTCCCGGTGGGACACCGGCCCTGGGAGCTCTCCAACCGTCGCCAAGTGGGCCCTTCGCAGGTAGCGAAGACAGCGTCAGCGGGGCGGGCACCCCCTAGGGCTTGGGCAGGAGGTTCTGAGACTTGGGAGTAAACTAGGAGATCTTGGGGGGCCGTGCCAGAGGAGGTGCCAGAGTCTGGGGGCAGGGCTACAGGGGACAGGGCGCAGTCAGGTTACACCGGGTGTGTGTGGACGGATTTGGGCCATTTAAGGCAGCACGAGGTGGACGGGGCACCGGAACCGCACCTTCAGATCGGAGACACCGAGCGCAGAGGAAATCCCCGGGCAGGGCGAGAAGGGGGTTTGGAAGCTGGTGCGAAGCTCGCAGCTGGCTAAAAGTGCCCACGGGTCTTGAGTATTGTATGACAGATCAGGAGACCAGGAAAGTTCGGGTCTGGGGGCTGAAGGGTTTTGCTCTTGGGGGCTACCTTTTGGTCTTGAGGCTTGTAAATTTTCTTGAGACTTGGGGAGCAAAGTTTACTGTGCTGGGTGAGATTGATCAGGGGGGATTCTGATTCTGGGGTCGTGTGGGAGGGTCCGGAGCTGCTGCAATGAAAGGAATGCTCAGTCTGAAATCAGATTTGGACCCTCTTTCTTGCCCATGCCTACTCCCCTGACTATACAGGTTCTAATTCCGTGGGCCAAGAACCATGAGCTGGCAGGCAGGTCCTTCGTAGTCTCCGACGAGGGCATCCTGGACCACCACCAGCTCTATCTGACCACCTCTGCCAGGGACTTCCCGGCCTACTCCAAGTGAGCCTGGGTCCCGCACCCCACTAACTGGCCTGAGTCCCTTCTTACTCAGTAGTAGCTTTCAGCTCTTGCTTTTGCAAGAACCAGAAGTTAGATTCCAGCCGGTCCAGACCTCTTTCAGTGCCCAAATGTCCTTAGTGTCAACTTTCAGGAACAAAGAGGGAGCTTTGACTGTAGGGTGGGAACCACTTTGGTATCTGAGTCCCCAGACACTATAAGGTTGCAAGCCCCCCAGATTCCAGGTCCTTAAGTACCTCCAGGGCCAGGGACTCCACTAGGAGTCCCCAGCCTCATCCTTTCTAAAGGGTCCCCAGACTCTACAAATTTGTCACCACCTTGAAACAAGAGCGGGCTATGCCCCTCTTTGAACCCTCCGGTTCTCAGTCGTCCCCCACACCTGCCTCTGCCTCTCCTCCAGGAAGGAGGTGTCGGGATACCCCCGCAAGGACTCGCTGACCTACTGGAGCTCGGAGGAGGCGCCCCATGTCTGGGGCCCAGGTGGGAAGTGGCAGCCCTGTCCGCTCTCCTCCCGGCTGCCCCAGGCGCGGGGGACCCGCGTGCCCCGAGTCGCCCCTGCGGCGCCCGCCGTGCCACACCGCGGGATGCTGCCCCAGGCGCAGGAGTCCTACAGCCCCCCGCTGCACCCACTCCGCTCGCTGGACCGTTTCTGCCCGGTGGAGTTGCCCTGGGGCGGCCTCCACTGGAAGCCGCTGACCGGCATCCACCGCGTGCCGCAAGCCTACCGCACCGAGAACTCGCTGTACGGCAGCCAGAAGCTGGCGCTCGTCTGAGCCGCCCCGCC